CTATGTTTGTCAAACCCAGTGTGAGTGCCGATCGTAAGAAGATAAAATTCCATAAGGAACATTGGGAGGGAAGAAAGGCAGGCATTAACCAAGGCAACTTTACCAGCCTGGGTATTGTATCTACCCCTCCAGGGCATGACACGATTGCCAACTTTGGCCACCGTAGGAGAAAAGTCTTTAGCTAAGAGTTTGTCGGAGGTAATAGGAAGACCCAGATACTTGAGAGGGAAGGAGACAAGGGAGCAATTCAGAAGGCGGGCAACACGCAGCGCCTCGGTTTCTGGGACCCAGTAACAATGACTTCGCTTTTGGAGAAGTTTATCTTAAGACCAAAGAGGGCCTCGAAGCAAAGCAGAAGAAATTTGAGGTGGGCAAGGCAATGATCATTAAGTTCCACCATAATAATCGTGTCATCAGCGTACTGAAGGTGGGTAATCCCTTGAGGGATAAGATGGGACCTAACAGGAGTAATGTGGCCGGGCCCCGCAGCCCTAGATAAAATATTAGCGAGGGTGTCCGCAATAAAATTGAAAAGGATGGGAGAGGCCAGGTCACCTTGCCTCAGGCCTCTAGAGTTTTTTTAAAAAAATGCTAACTTTCCCATTAACAGAGATAGCAGTATGGCCACCCAGGGTCGGGCCCACAGTGATGCTGCGGCCCGCACAGGGCCCAAAATTCTAAGCGGCCCCATATTTTTTATATAGGTGTAGTAACAGTTAAGCGCTATTGGGTCGGGCGACTAGGCCCATCGAGCGAGCCATCGAGCGGACGGAGCGCTGGGATGACTCCTCCTGATCGCTACCAGAGGGACAGGCAACGAGGCAGCACTCAGAAAAAAGGCGACGAGGGCATCGCTAATTCGTTACGTTATCTAAAAAAATACTAGATTGCTACCATAAAAGAACACTAGATCGCTACATGCATCGGATCGCCGGAGCCCTCGACGGCTGGACGCCTCGAGCCCTTGATGTTGACGCCTCGTCCCTCGGTGGCTCTCGCTCTGTCCCTAGTCCTTAGACCGATCATGTTTCGGATTCAGGCCGACTAAGCGACAGGCCACTGCCGCGGTGCCGCCATTGCCTTCCTTGACTCCTTTCTCAAATTTCAGACTCGTCGATGTCAGCTCATCGGATTGATCGGTGATCGACGCTAGACTTTAGGTGCTTAGCGAGTCATTGTTTTCGGTTAACTTCGGTCCCTTCTCCTAATTCTTAATTTTCTAATTAATTATTGACACGGATCATTACTTCATTAGAGATTGGTTCTTATCTCCTCGGTTAAAGATCACAGGACCGAAAATAAGGTGAGTTAGACGGTTCATCTAATTCCCAAGCATTGACGCATGATCTCCAATTGATATATGCTACGTATAAATTCAATATTATTTTATTCATCTTCTTTATCTTGTGTTTCAATAATACAGATTTGAGTCATCATGAGGAAACATCAGTCTGGTGCATATAAGCGCAGGAGAAACGCACAAGGAGAAAATTTAATTAATAAATCTTATAAAGGTGGTATGGACAGATTTGTTAAAAAAAGCACTACAAGTGTCATCTGGTAATCAGTCTATTGATCCTTCTAGATGTAAATAATACAACCGGCCAAGGACTTTTCGATGTGCTAGAGAAGGAGCTAAAACTGCTTGATCTTGATATAAATGATGTGCAAGGACAATGTTATGATAATGGATCAAATATGAAAGGAACGCATCAAGGGGTACAAAGGAAACTTTTGGATTTAAATCCTAGAGCTTTTTATTCTGCTTGTGGTTGTCATAGCCTTAATTTAACACTTTGTGATATGGCCAAGACTTGTGGTAGAGCAAAGGGCTTTGTTGGAATCATCCAACGCATCTATACAATTTTTTCCAATTCTACTAAGAACTGGCTTATTTTGAAACAAAACGTATCAAGATTGACTCTCAAGTCTGTGTCAGCTACGCGTTGCGAAAGTCGTGTTGAAAGTGTTAAAGCTATCAGATTTCAATGTTCAGACATTCGGGGGCTCTACTTCAGGTAACCAATATTTTTATATTAATAGTGATGTAATTCCTTTAGGCTTTGACTACATCCAACCATAACATTTATGAACTTTCTTTTAATTTCAGGTATCTGAAACTGATAGTGATTCAAAGGCTAGCATTGAGGCTCTAGGTTTGGCAAATAATGAACTTGGAGAGTATGAATTTATCGTGGCAATAGTTATTTGGTATGAGGTATTGTTTGTTGTTAATTTAGTAAGCAAAAACTTGCAAACAAAGGATATGCTTATTGATGTTGCTATTGAGAAAGTGAAAGGGCTTATTTCTTTCTTCGAGGGGTACAGAGAAACTGGTTTCTTAGAAGCATTGGAGATAGCCAAAGAAATTGCACTTGAGATGGATATTGGTGCAACATTTCGTAAAAGGAGAGAAATTCAAAGAAAGAAACAGTATGATGAGAACCCAGACGACATAAATATTGCCACACGGTGTGCATAGGAATCATTTAGAATCAACTATTTTATAGCTGTGGTTGATCTAGCAATTTCCTCACTCACAAGGAGATTTGAGCAATATCAAGGTTACTAGAAAATTTTTGGTTTCTTATTTACCTCTGAAACATTGCGTTCATTGGAGCAATATCAAGATATATAAATTATAATTGCTTGTTAGGTCATTTTTTACTGAGATATGGCCCATTTTTTTAGTTTGGCACAGGGCCCTGGATTTTGTCCGCCTGGCCCTGTGGCCACCCATGATCAACTGCATGATTCGATGAACCACGCCACCATCAAAGCCTTTAGCCAGCAGAACTTGTCTTAAGAAGCCCCATCTCACCGAATCATTAGCTTTTTCGAAGTCCAGTTTAAGAATAACAGCCTTGCTACCTGATTTGTGAATACCATGGACGATCTCATGTAAACATAGGACCCCATCAAGGATAAAACGCCCCTTGACAAAAGCAGATTGGGTAGGAGAAAGGGTGCGATGAGCCAATGGAGTAAGACGCGTGGCCAAGCATTTGGCAGGGAATTTGGCAAAGTTATTAATAAGCGCAATAGGCCTAAACTGGGAAATGAGCTCCGGACCCTTGATCTTAGGAATGAGAGAAATAACCGCATAATTGAGCCTAGAGATGTCCACCGTCCCCAAACAGAACCCTTGAATAACCGCACAGATTAGATTCTTGAGTTGTGTCTAGAAAGTTTTGAAGAAAGGAATAGAAAATCCATCCGGGCCGGACGAAGAGTTAGCATTAGCTTTGTTGATAGAGTTAAAAATGTCCTCTTCAGAGAAAGGAACAATAAGATCGAGGTTTTCCTCCGCGGACACCCTGTCCCCTTGGTCCCAAAAGGAAGAAGATATCCTGAACCCCTGATCAAGTTTGGCAGAAAGGAGGGAGGAAAAGAATAGGACAATGTGCTTCATGATGATGCCTTGGTCCGAAACCCTGACCCCATCGATCAATAAGCTGTCAATCAAGCATCTACGCGCCTCCCGTTGGCAATGGCAAACAAATAAGCAGTAGGGGAGTCTCCTTTAAGCATCCAGTTGATCGTGCCCCTCTGGCGCCAGTAAACTTCCGCGAGACGATGCAGCTGCACCAGAGATTGCTCAAGAGAAAAGCGCAAAGTACATTCCGAATCAGACAAGCCAGCAGCGTCAGCCCGAGAGTCTAAAGTTC